TGTGTGTGTGTGTGTGTGTGTGTGTTCAGTTGAGTGCAACAAAATTACAAAATCAGGGGAATTATTGTATGTGCGTTTTTAATTAACCAAACGTGGTTGTGATGTCCACTGCAGAATCCTATGTGGTCACACTGTCATATATGCTCCTGTTTTTACACAGTTGTCTCAAGCTTTTATTAATAATTGTTCTTCAAAGTGTAAAGAGAAAAGCGTGCAACCATGCCCACTGTGGTTCTTATGGACTCGTCGCTGTCCATGACACGACCCGTGTCAGTGGAGGGCAGTGAAGAGTTTCAAAGAAAGAACCTGGCAGTTCATGGACTGACCATGCTATTTGAACACATGGCCACAAACTACAGACTGGAGTTCACTTCACTTGTCGCCTTCTCCTCCCTCTGGGAGCTTATGGTACCCTTCAGCAGAGACTACAATACTCTGCAGGTAAAAACAGACCGGTTGTCATTCTGTCTAAATAAATTTTAAGTTGTCTGAGGTCATATTGTTATCTCTCATTCAATGTTTTGCAGGAAGCTTTGAATAACCTCGAAGACTTTGATAAAACCTGCCTAGAGGCTGCATTGCAAGGTGTTAGTAATGTAGTACAGCAGGAATGGGGAACCTCTTGCCCGTGTCAGGTAAAAATAAAAATCGAATTATTGAAAATACATTGTATTATGGAATATACAATGTGCATAAACATTGAAATAACCAGATATAAATGAACAGTACATTTTCAAAATAGCTAGCAATGTGCTGTTTGATCTGTTCAGTAAATGATAATGAATGATGTTTTATACTGGTTACCGCTTTAACAGTGTCTAAATAATACACCTTGATTTTTTTTATGTACAGTTGAGGTAATTGTCCCATTGTATTTTCGACAGATAATTATATATATAATGCTAAATGTGTTGATTTGACTGCATTGACGTTGTTTATCAGTGTTTATGTTGTTCTTATGGTGGCCTGTAGGTTGTACTGGTTACTGACGGTGCACTGGGCATTGGTCGTGGATCTTTGCGTCATTCCCTGCAAACAGTGAAACAACGAGTGGAGGACAAGAAATTCCCACTGCCTTTCCCATTCCCTTCCAAACTCTATGTCATGTGTATTGCAAATGCAGAGGAGGTACTTTAGTCTGGTTTCACTGTCTTTACCAATGTTATTTTAGTATGATTGAGATACTATTTTATTTTTATCATTATTTTGAATGAGTTTTCATTTTTATATTTTTCGTTTTTATTTTAACGTTTTAGTGATTTTGTTGTATTTTTTATTTTTTTTTGTCTTTGTCTATGTATTAATTTTTATTTCAGGTTTAGTTATTTTAGTACACATGAAATTTTGCTTTGCTGACTAACTTAAATTATTTTAAGTAAAAAAAAATGTTTTTATTATTTTATTCTATTTTATTTGTTTGTTTGTTTTAGTTTTAGTTACCTGTAATAATCATGGTCCTTAACTTGGGTTTTCCATTACAATGAACATACTAAAGTTACACATGCATCTTACAATATAATGAAAACAAATTTAATTTCATAATTTTTCCTTTCATTTTATGTTTTTTCCTTTATTTAATCTATGTTGTTTTGATGTCCCCTGAAGCTCCAAGCTACGGATAGCATGGATAAC